GGTGGAATGGATCCTGTAGCGGAAAACTCTGTGATTAAAATAGGACAATGAAATACAACTCTTCCCTCCCAGACCTGTTTGTATCTTGAACGTATTCACCGCTGCCGAGTAGGTTTAAAATAATTGGCTAATTGGATATCCGCGTGGACGCACTGATGCCCGCAAAGCCAAAACATTCTCCGGCCAAAGCGAAATTGAACATTCAAGTGACATTCTTAAGTTGGCAGGATATCTCCGTCTCTTGGTCGGGCTCCTTGCACTCTGTGAACACGTGCCCCGTAAGACTCAGGAAGGGTATTTTGAGTGGAGAAGGCACTCAGACCCTCTAGGGATGGAGTCAGGCACCACAAAGAAATACAAGGGACAGGGTGGTTGGGCGCCGCTGTCATCGCAGGATGCTATCGGCTCCCTGAGCCAAGCATCTCTCGTTAGAGTCAGGACTAGAGACCCCTCACCCCCACCCCCAACCCCAAAATGGAAGGCCAGGACGAGAGCAGCCTGGGCACCCAGGGAATCCGCTGCGGTCGTCAGAGCCCAACAAGTAGGTGGTAGTGCAGCTTTGTGCTTTGAATGAAGGGCATCTCTCCATAAAGTCAGGGCGTTCTAAGCAACCATTCAAAGTGGGTCTAGATACCGTGAAGATTTAAAATTAGACCTTCTCCCTGAGCTGAAAAATGTATGGTCAAGTCTTCGGAACAATGATTATGTATTTTCATAGCTGGAACGATACACAATAACTGACATTCTTAAAAGGACGTTGGGAGAGGAGTGAGAAATGAAGCCCCCATCATAAAGTTTTCCTCTTTGCAAAGAAGTTTTATGCGACGGTTCGCTTTTGCAATGCAGCGTGTCTGTGGCTTTTCCTGAGTTTTACCCCTGGAAAGACTGGGACAGGAAAAGTCCTCAGCGGCGCGCTTCTCAGCAGATCCAGGGGAGATGCGTGCGAGGCTCACAACCGAGGCTCACAACCCTCACTCCCTGGATGCTCAGCCTGGAGTTGGAAAGCGAGTCAGTAACTGTGGAGCAGAAAAGCACTAGCCACCCGGCAACTTGGGTTTGACAATTGAATGCATGCGGAGGCGGTGCCGTGCGCACGCGGCCACTGGGAGAGGGCCACCCCTCCCTCCTTTCACCCCAAAGTCTCGGGAGAGAGGCGCACCACCTGGCACCTCGGCCTGGGGTGATGCACAGCGGCTTCCTTGAGGGAGAACCAGCAACAGAATTCCTTTCTGGGTTCAACTCTCGGGGATTCTGAGTCGGAAAGTCATTGTCTGGCTACAGACACCTGGGAGGTGAGGGCTGACGGCTCTACAGACTTGCAGCATTTCTAAAGAGCGTTCTTTCTGCTTTTTAGTGTCGGCTTTGGTTGGGGAAGTTTTGACAATAAAAAAGGCAAGCCTCATCTATTCAACAAAGCCAGGAAAGCGAACATGTCGCTTATATTTCATCGCTTATATGGTCACCCACTTTTGCCCCTCGGTTAACTGCAGAGAAACGCCACTCCTAAAAACCACCTCAATGACTAGACCACCTGCTTTCTCTCTTTAACCCACCCGCAAAACGCGTCTTTTTAAAGGGGCGGGGAGGCAAAGTAAAAATAACCTGAGGAGTCTCAAGGTAAGTTACTGTTCTAACTCTGTTTTTTAAGAACAATAATACTGGAAATTTCAGTGGCCCGAACGAGGTCGGGAATTCCCCGGGGTCAGTGGAGAAGGCGGTCCCCATGTTCGGCTCTCTATGAAGTCACAGCTGTCCTGAGGCAAAACTCAGTGGACAGCTGCGCAGGGCCCGGGCTGAGAGGCAGCTCGGACTGAAGCGGCTTCTACAGCATGAAGTTACTTTCTTGATAAAAGTTGAGGCTGTGGAATCCTAGAGGTTGTGATATAACTTACTTATACCAGACCGGGGACCTGACAAACGGATATTTTATTATTTATTTGAGAACCTTTTAAGGTGAAATATTATTATAAAACTACAAATGTCTCTTCACAGTTCTACGTCAAAGACCACTGACTCAAGGCCCAAAGGGCCCCGAATGCTTGTCCTTCCACCGACTCTTTACAAGTGTTAAGTAGAAGAATTAGAAAAATCCGAGAGATTAAGTACAACATACTTCACATCCATGTTGACTTCCTGAATCTTAATAAGGTATTTCCTAAACATCGTGCCAGACAAAAACTTGACAAGACTTTGGACCTTGCAAAAGTTCAAAAGCTGCTTGGCCTCCTGAACTTCCCTCTGAAAGCTGCACCTATCAGCAAACTTAACAGAAGAGTGGAGATATTCTCGATTGCTTCTGATAAATGTAGGTTGCCACAATGGAAAATGCTGATTAGGGAAAAATATTGCACTGAAATCTCTGGAAATTAGTTCAATCCACCAGTTCCTTTTGCCAGCATCGTAGAATCTAGGCTGTCAGTTTGAAACTCAGGTGTTGAATAAGTGACCTATCCCAAATCAAACTCCAACTCTATCTATTGTATATTGCTATGTTTTCCCTCACCCAGAAAGAAGACCAAGTTCTGTTCATTTACATAGTTTATTGTTGTAAACATTAAAATTGTCTTTCTCAAAGAAAGAATTTATCAGAAAAAAAAATCAGTGTCTCTAACTGTCATACACCATAGAAAAAAAGGCAGTGACTCATATCATGTGCCATACTAGAAATATACAAAGAAAAATACTACAGAATATGGCAATATTAAAATTCTTACTCAAACATAAAATAATATATTAACTGACAATTTTAGACATTAAAAAAACAAAAAAATTCAAAGTGCTCAGTAATTTCCAGGGAGTTATGTGTATTATAAGCACTCTGGAAACAGTCAAAAGCTGCTGCATGCAAGTTTTGTTTAGCTTTAGACAACAAAATAATCAAGATATAAACTTTCTTTTATCAACATCAACGGTACATACAACACTTACAAACAAGGAATGTTGGACGGTGTTACAAACACTATGTGTCCCTTTTGTCAGGATTTTCTGATGTGTAGTACTTGTGCCCACCTATTTTACAATTGAGAAAATGTTTAAGCTCAGATAACTACCAATCTTTATAAAATCTAACAGACTACATAGTGTCTGAAATACTATTTATATAATATAGACATTACTGAAGTAGCAAGTGCCTATAACATTTCAACCTAGAATCAACATGCTGGTCCCTTTTTTGTGTAGTTATATTTTTTTTTTTTGCAAACACACTTATCTTTTAGAATTTGTAATATTTATTCATAAATAGGCACAAAATAATTTAAAAAGCCAAACTGCATTGGGTAAATTTACAAGCCTTTGCCTTCTTCAACTCATGCCACCCACGCAACATTTAGTTTTACTATATATTACAGCTTTCTTTACAGCAGAAAACTTTGAAGTCTTTTAAAGGGCAATACTTATGGGTCCCCTTACGATGTGTGTGTGTGTGTGTGTGTGTGTGTGTGTGTGTAACATTTCTCTTAACTGCAACAACCAAATGTGGCCAAACATTTCCCATCATACATTAGGAATCTTTCTTCTGAACATTTAACTGATTTTTAAACTGATAATAAAAAGTTTATACCACTGCATTGTGTGTAGTCCATGTTCTAAATCCAGGATGCCCCGAGCCAAAATGCCCTTTCAGGTTCTGCCTGCAGGTTAGGAAATAGCAACAGTTTTTGTTTTCTGTTTTTTGTTTTCCTTTAAGGATCAAGGGGCTGGGGGTTTATGGAAGGGGTGGGATGGCTAGAGCTGAGACAGCTCAAGGGGTTATCTCTGCCCTTGTGACTTGCCCCCTCTGGACAGTTTTAGGTGTTCTTTCCAGTTCCTTTGAAGTGCATGGGAGGAGGTCTAGAAAGGTAAAGTATCCAGAAAAAGTTTGTCAATTATTGCTGGCGGTGGTACCAAGTCTTCCAGTTTCAGGTAGAAAATGCGCTGTAGACCCTGTGTGCAAAGAGTACGGAGTTCTGGGAGCTTCCCCAACAGTTTGGACAAATAGTTGGGGCGGTTCAAACCCCCGTTATTGAAAGTCACGTGGTCTTTGAGACAATTGACAATCTTGTTTTGTAGTTCTTCCACTCTCTTGGGTTCCTTGAGCCCATGTCTCTCTGCAGAAAACACAATCAGAAACAAGAGAAGAATGGGGAAAACAGTTAGCTAGCTGGCAAAACCCAGGAAGATGGGAGGCAAGGGGAGACTGGGACAAATCCTGCTGGACAGTTTTGGAGAAGAGCCTTGCGCTTATGGTACTGACCTGTGACCATAGCCAGGGCAGCAATGCAGGAGAAGGCAGAAATGTCGATGTTCATGTTCTGCAAGTTGGAGGAGAATTCAACAATGGAATCAATCCATTCCCCAAAGCCACGAACGCATTGCAACCTGTGCAAGACCACCCCATTGCAAAAGATGAGTTTACCCTCCACTGGGTTGGACCTGCAATTAATACCAAAGAGAGAGAGAGGGGAGAAAAAGAGAGAGAGAAAAGCTAAACAACTAATTACTTGAAGAGCAATAAATGAGGGATTTAAGAGGCACCTAATTACCGAAGAGTTAATAAAATGTAGACCAGTGGACCTTGAAAGGGTTCAATTTCATAACAATCAAGAACGCCCCCTATCCCACCTCCATGACATTCATCCAAGACTTCTGGGCTCACTCCTTCCCTTCTCTACCTTTTTCTATTATCCTATCCCTCTTTCCCCCCTATTCTGACCACTTCTCTTTCCTTCCTTTCATTTCCTTTTCCCTCTTTCTTTTCTTGTCTTGATTGCTCTCTTCCTTCTTTCCCAACCTCCCTGATTGCTTCCTCAGTTACCTGTATGCTAATCGCAGCACAAACAGTTCTAAGAAAGCCGATTCAAAAAGCAGGTCCTGGTCGGCTTTGGGCAGGTCAGCAAAGCCCGGAATCTTCTCGGCCCAGCCCCTGATGATCTCCATGGAGCCAGTCAGGAGATCATAGAATTGTTGGATATGCTGGGTGTCATCTCCACTCATCTGATAGTCAGGGTTCGCCTGGAACTGGAATTTCATTTTAAAAAGCACTTAATGAGGTTCTCTAAAATATATAACCCGTGAAATTGCTAACCCCGTTCCTAGTAGTGGAGCCAGGTTTTTATAACAATTAAACCTCTCTCTGACCAGTAAGGAAATTAGATGTTCCGGGGCAATTAATTCAATTAGGGATGGTGCTATGAGGTCGCTGCTTTAAATATGTAAATTACCATTTCCATACAGACTAAATACAGTGCCATCCAGCCCTGGGAAACGTTCACTCTTATCTCCACAAAACAATTGACATGTTAGTATTCATGCCAGTCCCAGAGTGGGTCTCGAGCAGAGGCGCCCTTTGCAAATCTTAATAAAATTGCCGTGACTTCTAAGTTTGCCCGACATACTTCCTCCAATTAAAGCCCTCCCATTCCTCACAGCTGGCGTAAAAGAAGACTCTGACCACTTGATCCCCCACTGCCATTCCTCGGACCCACTGTCCTTCCCTTCCCCGACCCCCAAGCAGGCAGCCCCCACCCTGACGGTGCCGGAGAGGGTGAGGATTAAAGCATCTCTGGGGGGGCTTTTCACGCAGCCTCTGGTGTGGCCATCAGAGGCATTAGCGTCTGAGTATGTGGTGGTGGGAAAGGGGCTCGAAGAGGTTTGACCACCCTGGCCTAGCACTTCTTCCTTCCGCTGCACTGCCCTCCTGTCTACACTTGTCTGTGGGTCTGCCCGCCTCCTGTGGCTCTCCCCAGAGCTGTGAGCACACAGTCTTGCTTGCCTCCTTTTATCCTGAGTCTGGGGGTTAGTGATGGGAGTGGGGAGGGTTCCTGCCCAGTTGTCGGTTTGTCCACATGATACCCCCCTCCAGCATCTTACCCTGGAATAGTCCAGGCTGGTCATAGCCGGGTTGGAGTCGACATGGGCCCTGACGAGGGCACTGATCAGACTCACCGGGGGCGAGGGGGGAGAGGGCTCCTGTGGGCTCTTCGGTTTGGAAGGTAAACGACCTCGCCGGCCTTTTAAACTGTCCGTGCGAACCACTGCAAAGAAAGAGCCGGTTACTGTCGCTCGGCCTAGGGGGACCCAGCTGCCTCCTCGGCCCCTCCCGGGGGTGGCTGCAGCTGGGGGGAGTGCGGCCGGGCGGCACTGGGCCCCACTGCTTGTAAAGCCTTTACTGGCGAGAAGCATAAAAAACGCGGGGCTGTTTTACGTCTTCTTCCAAATGGGTCGTATAGTTAAAAGACGAGAAGAGCCTGTCGGCTTTCTCTAGGGCAGGATGGGCAAGCTGGCAGCTGCCCGTGTGGAGGCCGGACGCGGGTGGGGGGGCCGGGAGACCCCTGGCTCTGTCTGTAGAAAGTGGGGTTAGAGGGGGGGCAGCGCTCTCCCAAGGGCACAGACTGCGGAGTGGGCCGCTCGCCCGGACCTACCTTCTTTGACCATCCCCACAGCCAGGCACTTCTGGAACCGGCAGTACTGACAGCGATTCCTGCGCCGCTTGTCCACTGGGCAGTTTTTATTTGCTAAACACACATATTTTGCGTTCTTTTGCACCGTGCGCTGCAAAACAAAAAGACAGCCAAGGCCGAAAATTAATTTTCTCTTGAAAAGCCAGCAACCCAAGGAATCCAGGAACAATTTCTGAAAGACTGGGGTCTACACTCCCTTGCCACAAACAAACACATATACATAACTGCTTTCTTTCTTTTTTTTTTTCCTTTTCCTTTCTCTTTCCTTTCTTTTTCCTCCCCCAGGGCATGTTACAGAAGAAAATTGATAGCGTTAACATTTGAGCTAACCTTGCCGCTCCTTGCTGTGTTTTATATGCCAAGAGAAGGAGAAGGAGACGCTCAGTAAATACAAATCCGTGGGCATTCATATTATTTACATTCCTTGGAGACCTTCTCTATTTAAAATGATAAGATTATTCAATCAGGATGGCGAAATAAAGAGATCACTTAATTTGACCATAGGGAATTCTGTTCCACTTGGTTAGCTCAGACACGGTTCTCTGTCCTACCCAATTTCAATCTGAACAGAACAGACGGCTCTGCGCACATGCAAATGACCCTCTCGCAACTCGCGCTCCAGCAACTTGGGGCGGAGGCCTGCCGGGTCGGCTTTGTGCGGGGGATGCGACCCCGGATCTCGGGGTCTCCGGGTCTCGGGGTCTCCCCGCTTTCTTTTCTCAGGCAGGCACCCGGATGCCCCCACCGCCACCTCTGCGGACCCCGGGAAAAGAACCTTCCGGGGCGAGCGGGAGCTGAGCTGCCTGCACCCAGGCGGAGCGCGCACACCGAGGCTCCAGGCTGTAGGGGGCCCCTGCCTGCCTCCTCCGCCCCTGTCCTTGCTCACCTTAAAGAACCCCTTGCAGCCCTCACAGGTGCGCACGCCGTAGTGCTGGCAGGCCGCGTTGTCGCCACACACCGCGCACAGCCCCTCGTTGGAGGGGGAGCCCCGCGACGGCGGCGAGGGCACCTGCGTGTCGAGCAGCTGCGACGCGTGGCCGATCTGCAGGCCCGGGAAGCCCATGGACGCGGGCTTTCGGATGGGGTTGGGCACCGCGAAGGTCTGCCCGTCTACAACGTGGTGGCTGCCCGCCGGCTCCGGGTTCATGGGGACGTGCAGGGGCCCGTCGAAGCGCATCTGGCAGCTCGACACAGGGGTGCCGGGGGGCGACTGCTTAAAGGAGAAGAGGGAGAGGCGGGAGACGGGCGTTTTCCTCTGCTCGATCATGTGCGTGGTGGCCACGTAGTTCTGGTGGAAGTTGTGGAGGGAGCCCGGGTCGTCCCACATGGGGCTGTGCTGCACCGGGAAGCCCGGGGTGGCGGACGTCGGGGGCGAGGAGGGCTTGTAGTAAACCGACCCGGAGTGCGGCATCATCTCCTCGGACTGGGGGGGCAGGTGGCTGTGCTGCTGGTAGCTGTGCATCTGAATGTCTTCTACCTTAATGGACGCCTGCTGTCCGGGCAGGGGCGTTTGGTACAAGCAAGGCGGCTTGACGTCGTAGCCTGTGCTGTAGTTGTCCATAAAGGTACTGAAGCTGGGGAGAGAAGTGGTGGCAGTGATTTCAGTGTTGGTGAGGTCCATGCTAAACTTGACAAACTCTGGCGTTAAGAAATCGGAGCTGTATTCTCCCGAAGAGTGGTAACTGTAGCTCTGAGAAGCGGGGCTGGCTCCTTGAGGCGAGGACCCATACTGCGCCTGAACACAAGGCATGGCTGGAAATGAAACAGGGGAATAATGTACACTCAGCCTGGTCAACTGAACACTTCCTCCCAGGCTCGGGCTCACCTGGAGCTGCACCGGCAGCCCGCGGCGGTCAGAGAGCGCGGAGGGGCGCGAGGGGAAGGGCGGGGATCGCGAAGGCTGCGGAGCTAGACAGTGCGGGGCACGGAAAAGGCTGATTCAATAAAGACCCAGCGCTGGAAAGCCATGGAGGGTCTCCCCGGCTCTTTTCAAACGCCTCCCCCCTCGACCCCCTTTCCTGGACAACCCAGCTCCAATGAGCCTCTCCCTCTGCAGCTCGGGTTCAGCAAGCTCATCCTAGAGATGAAGTTGAACTGCACAAGCAGAAAGTTGTTTCCGAAGGCGACGGGTTAGAAAACCTTAAGTTACAAGCTCTGCTGAGGAAGATCGCATTGCCCCTGGTCTTGATATTTAGGGAATTGGGGGGCGGGGAGGGGGGCTGAGAGAAAGAAATCAAGGTGCACTAACCTTCAGCCGAGTTACAGGCACAGGCGTTTTCAAGGAACTTAAAGGTGGACAGTGTCGTAAAGCAATGAAGGATAAAGTTTCCAAGATTTTTAGAAAAGCATTGGAGAGCCCAGCCTGTCAGATCTCCTCCCTGAAATACAGACACAGACAGCTTCAGGGGGCCTTTCCGGACACAGTCAGCCCAGCATCTGTAGACTCACCGGCCAGGCCCTTCTATGCCTCCCGCGATTGTTTCATTGGAAACCTAGCAGCGAAAAGGAAGGTGTGAAAGAGGTGGCTGAAAACAACAGAAAATGCCACCCGTTGCACTGTGTAAGTCCTTGCAGAGAGAGGGTTCTGGAGAACCAAAGGCATCCCGTGTACTTATTTAATTCTTAGGAGGTAATAAATTGGTCCCTTTGGTAGGGTGTATGGGGATGGGGGAGTGTCATTTCCATTTCAGTTTAATTCTGACCCGAGAAGAGGAAACTAGAGTTTAATAAAATACAGCATTGGAACCTTTCCTGATTTTTCTTTTCTCCGTGGTGAAACTGGCTTTTCTTTTGGGAGTGGGGAAGAAAGTAGAGGTCAAGAGTATAAAATAAGGAAACCTCTTCCTCCACCCCTATGAGTTACAAAATGTTAGTGAGCAAGGCCTGGGCAGCCTGAAGGTAATCTGAATGTGCTTTTGACAGAGCACTGAGACTGGGGAAACAGGTGAACTGGCACGTAGTTTTCCAAGAAACTTATCTTTCAACGTCTTTAATGGCCAAGGGGTGGGAAGAGCAGACCCTACTTTTCCAGAAGCATCTTAGGTCAATTGCAGGGGGAGCGCAATGTTGCTTATCGGGCGTCGGCACCCCTGCTAGAAGGGCTTTCCTACACACCAAACTGAACACCTCCCCTATACAGCCTGCCCTGGTCTGCCCGCTTGCTGGAACAAGGCATTCTTGTATCCTAGTGATTTTCAGATGTCCCTACTTGGAAGGCATTCTAGAGCATAGATGATCTTATTAACAATGAAAAAGAAAGTCAAACATCTACACCTTCTCTTTTCCTTGCCCCCCCCCCCCTCAGAATCTTGCTTCAATGGGGAAGGAGGCTAACCAGGAAAAGTGGAAAGACATTAGACTCCAACCCCCACGGCCCCTGAGAAATATGCCTGCGCTGGACATTTTACCCACCGCGTTACTTCACAGCTTCATAACTGTACTCTCTACATCTTCTCTCCGTCTGTCTGTCTCTGACACACTCACATACACAAGCGCGGCATATATCAAACCAGAAATTTCACACAAATTAGTAACAGGATACTCTTCCCCACCCCTCTCTTTACTCAACAATACCCAGGAAACACTGGCACCCTGGCCAGCCACGGTGACACAGTTCCCAAGCAACACACAAACTCCAGGACTTTCTCTCTCCCTGTCACTTGGTGGGGAGCGTCCGGACCCCCGTAGATACAGGACTTGGAGTCTCCGTGTCCAAAGGCCACACTCAGTTTCGCACTAAGAGCAAACTTCCAGCACACTGATTTCCGCGGACAAGCCCACGGCTCCCCGAACTATGCGAGTCTCCCTTCACGTCCACCAACCAGGAGCCTGGCAGCCCCTATTGGGAGCCAACTCCCCGCTGGTGCCAAAGCCGGTGTTCGGACAAATGCCCTCTGTAGCTGCGCGCACCTCCTCCCCATCCTCCCGCCCCACTCGCGTCCCGCGCCTCTGGCGCCCACTTCCAGAGAACCTAGACCAGAGAGGCAGAAGGAAGAGACGTGCAAAAGAAGAAAGAAGGATTTAAAAAAAAAAAGACCGCGAGCCGCACGGACGGCACCTACTCATTTAGGAGTTCTCCGCGTCTCTCTTCATTCATTCAACTCGGCCGAAGTGTCGCTCCCCTGGGAGTCCGGGGGCAGGGTCGGGGAGGGGTGGGCGACAGGGGCGCGGGGAGCCGAGGCGCCGAGAGCCGGGAGGGAGCCGCGGCAGGCGGCCGGCTGGACCGGCGAGCAGGAGCGCGGAGCCGGGCGCGAGCCTCCGGGAGGACTGGCCCTGGCGGCCAATGTGCCTTTGTTTATGTGGCTCGCGCCGCCGCTGCCAACACGCACCTAAAGTCTCCGCGCGTCAGCGCGCGTCAGAGCCCGCCGCCCAATCGCCGCGCCGCCGCGCTCCCCGGACTCCTGGCCGGCGCTCGCTTTGGTATATTTCCGACCTGACGTCACGAGCAGGGCCGACGTTAAGGTGGGAACCGTTCTGGGTTCACCTTGGTGGCCCAGCTCGTGGGTGTTTGGGGTGCGTGTGTGCTTTTTTCCGAAAGAGTGTGACCTCTCCACTCTGGCCCGCTCAGCCCGCAGAGGGGCGACATCTCACCCCCCCCCCCCAGCCCCCCGCGCCCCTGCGGCCGCCCGGCCGCTCACACGGGAGGGAAGGTGCAACAAAAGCCCGGGCGGAGGGGAACCCTGGTGTGGGCCAGGCAGCTGGCACCCGGACCCGCAGGTAGGGCTGTGCCTTGACCGCGCTCTACCCTCACGAACGCACAATCGTCATCTCCATTAGCGGAGGGCGAGCGGATGTCCCAGGACGCGGCACGCTCCGAGGGCTCAGGCCATGGGGGTGGGATTTCCCTGGCCCAGGGCATCCTCCTCTTCTCCCTCTCCCTGTCCCTGGCCGCCGCCTCCTCCTCTGGAATATTCATATTCTCCCCCCGCCCTCCTCCGCCCCCACCTGCTCCTTCTACACACACACAGTCCAAGGTGGAAGGGGCTTATTTGTGTTCCCTTTTTTTCTTGCAGTGCCCACGTGCGATGTAGGACGTTGTGCGTGGCGTGGAGAGGGGAGCGTAGTGTAAAAGATCATGTAGGAGTGATCCAGCCCTTTGGGGACCCCAAAATCCAGAGAGAGGCGTCGTTCACGTTCCTTTCGCAGACAATGCAGCCGAGCAGAGGGCAACAGGTGCGCCTTTGGAAGATAGATGCGCTTTCCTCACCATATGCTAACTTGGGTACTTTCGACACTCCTCGGTGCCCATCACCTCCTATCCTTCCACGAGTTTTAAGTAAATACATGGACCCTCCTCTGAAGCACAGGGCTCTGACCGCCTCAGCGTGAGAGCCAAGAAGGAAAGACAAAACGTAGGGAGGAGGGGGCAGGGTGGCTCCGCTAAGCACCGTGTGCCGCCCTCCCAGAAGTGTGGGCTCTGGGCGCACGCGGCACCCCGCGGCCCTCCGAGTCGCCGCCAACTCCGCCGGGCAAGTCCATCCCCCCACCGCGCCGATGGGGCAAGGCGCTTTCTAGCAAAGGAAGTGCCGCTTCTCCCAACCCCGGGCCGGTCCCTGGGCCGGAGCTGGGCCGGCCCTCTGGGGGCTTCTCCCGTGGGGCTAGAAGAGGCTGGGGCGACGGAAGCGGGGGGATCGGGGGCGGGGGGATCGGGGGCTCTTCCTTCTGCCCGCGGGGTTCCAGCCGCCTCTCCTCTCTCCACCCGGCGAGCTTCCAGCCGTTCAGGCCCTCGGCAGCTCCCCGCCCCCGCCCTCCCGGTGTTCCCGGGACTGGCCCCAGCGCCGTGGACCTCTCCGCGCCTCGGAGCCACCCAGCTCTAATCTGCACCCCCGCCTTCGCCCGCTCCCCGCCGCCCCCTGCTCCCCAGAGGTGGGGAGGAGAAGCCATCGGGTGCCCTGCGGCTGCCCCGGGAAGCCGCATCTCTTTTGGGCGGGGCTTTCAGGGACTAAGTAAAACCTTAAGGGTTTCCCCCCAAAAGTTGGAAATTGCGGCCCGTTGTTTGGGCGGCCCGCCGGGTTTAAAGGGGG